TGATGCTGCTGCTGATGATGATGATGATGATGATGATGAGAGGAGGAGGAGGAGGAGGAGGAGGATGATGATGTTGGCTGGATCGTGGATGAGCTCATCGCCGCCGCGGAGACGGATGAAGATGCGCGTGAGTTGGCAGTTGCAGAGCGTGGCAGCATCTGAGAGTTGGGGCGTGTGAGTAGTTGTCTCTTGTTCGCATCTCTATTCAGGTTGAGTCATAATGACGACGATGCCGATGATTTGTGATTCTGCTGACGTTCATGACGATTTTCAGGATGATCATGACCATTCTAATGATGCCGAGGAGGAGGAGGAGGAGGAGGAGGAGGAAAAGCAGGAGGCGGAGGAGGAGGAGGGGGAGGAAGGAGGGGGTTGGGCATAAGAATTTCCCACCGCCCTCCTCCCTGCCTGCCTGCCTCCCCTCCTCCCTCCCTGGCTCCACCCTCCGTCCCTCTCGGCCTTCCTCCCGGTCCTACCAGCCCCTCCCTTCGGGGCTCAAGAGACGAGGGTCAGTGCAAACTGGGTTCAGTCAGAGCGCCGGATCTTGCAGGATCCTGCAGGGCCAGGGTCGCTATGACCCGGGCTTGGGTGCAGGATCCGTCAGGATCCTGCAGGATCTTGCAGGATCCTGCAACGCCTGACTAACCCAGGTCTGGATTGACCCAGGTCAGTACATCCCAGATCCCTCCTCTTCCTCCTGCTCTAGTCTTCTTCCTTATAGAAGAAAACCTCCCTGTCGCACCCCGAGGCCGCTCGAAAGGGCGGGCCGGGCGTTTTGCTGGAGACCTCCTCACCATTTGTGATCCTGCAGCTTAGAATTTCAACAGCATTACGGATGGAGGGCGGGTCGTTTTCAACATGTGGCTCTTGCCGTAGCGTCGCTCACATTCGTTGTGTAGACTTTGCGACAGCTTCATGGATGGAGGGCGGGCCGTTTTCAAGATGTGGCTCTCGCCTAATGGCGTTTAGGCACGATGCCGGATCGTGAGGGCGCAACATTTGTGTTGATTCGTGGTGTCGAAGTCACAGGAACGGCGTTCTGGCACGATTCAGGATCGTTCAGACGCAACAGTAACGGTGATTTGCGGCGCTGAACTCCCAAAAAGGATGTTGTGGCACAGTTCAGGATGCTCAACCGGTTGTTTCCCACGGGGCACTTCCTTCAGTGAGAACGAGTCCTTGTACGGCAACCGGTAACTGGCAACTGGCTCCGCATACGTGGCACCATGGAGACGCAGTGGAGAAGGCGCCAGAGCGCCTGCATTGTAGCGCCTGCATTGTTAAGCAAGTCGCAGAATGATGATCACGACGATGACCCTCGCGAAGCCCTGGCATTCATGCGATCCGCCCGGCGGTCACGAGCACGTTCGATCAGCTCCACGCGCTTCTCCGGCCACTGCAGGTCTTGCTGGCGCTGTTCTCTGCGAGCCTGGGCTCGTCGAAGAATCTTCTCTCTCCTCCGATCAAGATCGCGATGGCGCCCAAACTTCAGAGTTATGTTCATCTCATCCGCGCCTTCCTCCTTATCCTTATCCTTCTCTGCGGCCTCAGTCACATCCGGGAAAGCATGGATCGAGGGCAATGTTGCCATCTTGACAAACTAATCCTTGTCGAAGTCGCTGCTATCGTGATCTGGCTCCTTGCAGTTGCGGTCGGCTGGTTTCTGGCGCTATGCAGCGAATGCGAAGTCCAGAGTGTCTCTGGTGTACTCGTCGTTGTCGTCGGCGAACATGCTGGTGTAGACCTGCTCGGTCCGGTCCAACGCTTTGAGCAAGTGTTTTCTGTCCTCGTCAGATGCTGGGGCAGTCTTGTCGGACGTCATCCCCTGCAGTCCTAGCATCGGCATGCACGTGGCAACTTCAGTTTGACCCATCTTTGGTAGCACCACATTCTGACTCGCGCCACCCAGGTCGGACTTCTTCGCCGACCTGCGATGGAGTAGTATTTCAGCCTTGTCCACCCTCGGCTCAGCGTTCTCCCACGCTGGATCCATCATGGTCGCTGATTCCAAATGCGTGAGGATGCCTTCAACCTTTGCCACCAGAACTTGCATTTTTGCTTCGATCGAGTCTAGCCGTGATTACAAATGTTTCTTGCCTCTCGCCATTGCACTACGCTGTCGCTCGCGCCGAGCCGGCAATACGCTAGGGATCTACATGGCTCTGCAGTCAGCTGTGCTTGAAATGCGGGACGCGCTTGGCTGGCTATGCTGCACCTTGAACGAATTTTGACCTTTAACCTTGGCTGGCTATCCTTGATTCCTTGTATGAGGCCTATGAAGAGGAAGCTCGGAGGGAATATTGTTGCACTGGTCCTCCTCCTCGTTCTCCTCCTCCTCCTCCTCCTCCTCCTCCTCTTCCTCTTCCGCCTCCTCCTCCTCCTTGTCTCTTTCCGTCGCCATTTTGGCTCATGCGTACCTTGGGCGCCAGGCGGGCGGCAGCGTTTGGGTCTCTGCCTTTGCGGCGTTGGCTCCCGTGGGAATGGCTGTGGCAGGCTGCACGGCTGCTCATGGAGCGGCGGAGCACCCCGACGCTGCGGCGGACGCGGGCTCGCTGTGGCCTGCAATGCTTGCCAGGCGCGATGCTGCCCGTGCGGCGGCTGCGGGCCGCCTTGCCGCGGTGTTCCAGAGGATCGCCGAGCTGGAGGAGCAGGTGATCGGGCTGCAGGCCGAGCGGCGCCATGCCCAGGCGGCAGGCCGCGCTGCGGCCCTTGTGGCGGCCCAGCGCGCCTCGGAGGCTGCGCCCGAGGTGGCGGTCGGGTCGGCCGCGCAGCAGGACCCCGCGCTTCAGTGCGAGCTCGTGGAGCGATGGTGGCGCCCGTCCTGGAGGCGGACCTCCAGGACGCGCCCAAGAGCGCCTTGCAGGTGGGCAGGCGCAACACGGTGTGCCACCACCCGCAGCTGGCCGCGGCCGAGGTCCGTGCCATGCCTCAACGCGCGCTCAACCGTTTGCAGCGCGAGGCGAGGCGCGCTCGCCTTCGGCGCTGGCGTGGCAGCAGGCGCGCGCCGGTTCAGCCGCGGCACCGTCGGCTGTTTGCGGCGCGCTCGCCTGCGGACGCGGCCCCGTTGGCATGGCGCGTGGTGGCCATGCGCGGCCGCGCACCACGCAGTGCGCCGCCTGTGCGAGCACCTCGGAGCACATCTCGCGCCGAGAGGCCGCCTGGAGCCGCAGGTGCCCGTTGGTGGACAGCGGCGGCGGAGGTGGCGGGAAGGAGTAGCGGCCTCGATGTCCCCTCTCCGTGCGGTGCCGCCGACACCCAGGGTGTGCCTGAATATCACGACGAGGGTGGAGCAGCAGTGGTTCGTGGTGCTGCCGACGTCGGTCGTGCTCGTGCCCTCCCTCGGCAAGCTTGTCGCGATGCCGCTCATGTTTCCCGTGCTGGCCCTGGCGATGAGGAGAGCGTCGCGAACGACGGCACCTAGGTCCCTCACCCTGCCCGTGGCGCCGCCGCAGCGGGTGCTGGCGATGGAGTTTCTCCTGATGGTGTTCACGGAGGGGCTCGCGGGGTCAATGGGGTCGCCGCTCGACTCGCTCACGATGCCTCCCAAGCTCGTGGTGCAGCAGTCGACGGTGATGCTGATGGCGTTCTTCCGCTTCGTGGCCCTGACGGCGCCGACGACCCGTTCGACGAGCGCCCGTTCGACGAGCGCGCGATCGTCGGTGGGATGCGGCGCATCGTGGCCATGCGGAGGCGCACGCGCCAGACATGGGCCATCGAGTACCGCTTGCAGGGCGATGCCCAGCTCGCCAGCATGGCCGCGGAGCTGGAGCAGGCGAAGGCGCCAAGGCGCCCGCCTCGCCGCGAAGGCCAGGCAGGCCAGGGTAGCGCGGAACGGGAGGTGAGCCTCGGGGGCCTGGCCGCCCGCTGCGCCGCGTAGGAGCGGGCCCATGCTCTGTCCTGCTAAGCTCCGCCTCGAAATCTTGGCGCGTCGCCCCGCGCTGGTTTGGGGGCCGCCGCCGTCTGGGTCGGGCGGCCGCTGGCGGCTGCTGGGGTTGCCAGCTCCCGTGGCTTCCGCCCCCCTGGCTTGCCCTCGGGGTCGGCCAGGGTCGGGCAGATGCCTGTCTGGGCTGCTTCGGGATCCCTCCCTCGTCGCCGTGCTCGAGGCGGCGCGGGGCCCTCGTGAGATCTGGTGCCCTGGCGGTCGTCTGCGCGCAGACGGCCGCCAGGGCCTCGTTGAGGACGCTCCATCCATCCATCCTCCTTGTCTCTTCCCCCCCCCTCCTCCCCGCGCCCTAGTCGCTGCGGCCGCCCGAGGTATTCGGGTTCAGGCCCCAGGGCGCCAGCCAGACCTTCGCGGTCGCGCGACCAGGGGCGGCGCGCCTCACGCCAGAACGTGGGCGTGCTCCCGACGAGACGCCGCCAGCGCCAGCCCCGCGGCCGGCCCCGCGGGGCCCAGCCCCGCGGTGCCCGTGGCGGTAGCGCTCTGCCGCCTGTGCTATGCCGCCTGGGCTATGCCGCCTGGCGCAGCAGGCTAGCATGGGGCGCCGATGTCGCCGTCTTGGCGCGGCGGTTCCAGGCTGCCTGTAGGTCTGTCGCTGGCGCCGTGCCTCAGTCTGAGCCTCAGCTGGCTGTTCGCGGTGCTCTTCAGCCACCCGCGAAGGTGAGGGCCCTGAACCAGATGGCGTTGCTCTCCAGTGTGCCATTCAGCCGCAATTTGGCGGCGTTCTTCGGGCAAGCGACGGAGGTGCTCTACGGCCAGATGCTGGTGTTACTCTTCGGCTTCTTGTTGCCTGCTCGTGGAGATGAGGCCCGCGCCGATCTGCGGGCGCACGAGGGCGTTGCTCTTCGGTTTGACGATGGCGCTGCTCTTCGGCCATCTGCTAGTGCTGCCCCTCGGCCGCGTGAGCCTGCTTCGAGTGCTGCCCCTCCGCCCGTCGGTCGGACGCTACAGCCAGCTGCTGGCGTGGCGCTCCGGCCACCTGTTGGCGCGACCGCTGCCCTTCGACCACGAACGGATGGCCGACGGCATGGGCTTCGATTCTTCGGCCAGCCCCAGGGCGAGGGCGGGAAGCCCATGTGCCGACCGCTTCCGCTACCTCCGCGACGTGCGCGGAGCGGGAAGACACTCGCTTTGGAGCGCGCGCAGGGGCGGCGTTCGACGCGACGGTGGGCCGGGAACACGCCACGGCGCTGCGGGGCGCACCGAGCGAACCCGCTGGTGAGGGCGCGCAGTGGCCGCCCCGTCACGCAGAGCCACCAGCGCTCGCGAGACGGCAAGGCCCACTTCAGCTGCACCGTCAGCAACTCCGTCGACCCTCAGCTTCACATGCAAGCCCGCGAGCTGTGGCGGCGACGAGGAAGCCGATGACTCCCGCGACGACGGGGACATGGACGGCTGCCGATGCACCCGGAGTCCGACGCGAGACCCAGCAGCGCCGAGGAGGGCGGCACAGGATGCGACTCCGTCGACGACGAGGCCCTGGAAGGCCCGCGGCACCACGAGTCCGACGTGAGCCCCAGCATCGATGTGGACGTGCAGAAGATGGCAGTCACACGCTAGGGCGGCGCGCTCGAACCTTCCGGGTACGACACCTCTACGGCGCTGGTGCACCAGCTCTCGGTCGACGAGACGGTGGTGGCCATAGTGGAGCTGGTGTGGCGGAGGGCCCGCATCATCGCGCCGGTGAAGGGCTGGGTCTCCACCGAGACGACAGACACGGCGTAGCAGATCACGCGGCCCTGCGCAGGGCAGCGGCGCTCCTCCCAGTACGGCGTCGTGGGCTACGGCCCCCTCGGTGACGAGGCCATGGGCGGCCCGCAACACCTCGAGGCCGTCGAGTGCCTGGGCATGGCTGGTGAGGAGGAGTCGACGAGGTCGTTGACTCACTCTGTGACTTCTTCGGCGGTGAGGCCACGGGCGGCCTGCTTATGCTTGGCTCTGAGCTCGGCGCTGACATCGACGAGGGAAGCTCCGAGTCCTACGCGGACATCGGCGAGGTCGTCGACTCCTCCGACGGCGAGGCCATGGACAGCTTGCTGTGCCCCGGGTCCGACACGAGCCCTGGCACCGGAGGGGAGGACGACGCGGGCTTCGACTCCTCTCGGTGACGAGGCCATGGACAACGACGAGGCAGGCGAAGTGGGCTTCTACGAGTCTGACCTGTTGGATACCGCAGTGCCGCCAGTCCGTTGTGTCAATTGGGTGATCCATGCGAGGCTCGCCCACTGGCTACCCGACTCCCAGGTGTTCCTGCTGTGCCGTATCTACAGCAGATTGGCACATTGCCGCTCCGGACGGCGCAGCGCATCAACTGAAGCGAGGCGCCTTCCTCACCGCGCGAGTGCCTGAAGGCGTACTTGCCTCAGGCATGAACGGCGGCCTGGCCGCCCCAATCTTCTAATGTTCCGGATGGCGCAGCGCATAGTTCGTTTTGCAGGCGGTCCGCTCAATTTGCGTGCCTGGGGGCGTCTGAGCCTCAGGAGTGCATGAATCATCTCGTTTCGCAGGTGCCCCCCGCGGGGCCGAGGCATCGTTGCTCTTGTCCGCTCGCGTCCCGACCCTCGTCAGGTGAACTGCTGCGTGCACCGTCTGGCGAAGGCCAGGGCAGGAGCACGGTAGAGGCCACCAGCCCCTCCTGGTGCGTGCCCGAAGGCGTGTTGGCCTCAGGCGTGCACGGCGGCCCGGCGGAGGCCGCTTGCCCCGAACTCTTCGCAGGTCGCCCCTGTCTGGATTCCCTTGTCCGCCGTGCGGGCCACGGGAGCCGCGAGAGCACCCTCTGGGCCTCCAACTGGCACAGCGACAGGTTGCAGCAGCCCTGTGGACAGACGCCGAGATCGCCTCGCCTCGCCCCGTGCCCTTGGTGCTGCCGTCCGCCCTGCCAGCGGAGCAGGGGGTTCTCCGCCCACCGCGGCGTTCCCTGGCCGTTCCTATTGCGTCGTCGCCGCCCTCGTCCCAGGTCAGCCCCGAGCGCGCGAAGACAATCGCTCCTCGCGCGTCGCGGCCTGGGCCGGGGCGGCAGCACTTCTCCAAGGCGGCCGCGCGGGGGCACGAGGGCGCGAAGACAACCGTGCGTCGTGCATCGTGGGGCGCGATTCGCGAAGTTGGGTGGCCTAGGGTCGGGGAATTTTGGATAGCGTGCCGCCCCGCTGTTGTCTGTCTTGTCGCGCGTTTGGCGCCTCCTGTCCGCCAGCTAACGCGTTTGGCGTAGCTCGCACGCTCGCCAATTGTCTTGCCTACGCGGGCTTTGCGTTTGGCTGCTTCGTTCGTTCTTGCCGCCCCGCTGGTTCCAGCCCACGACGCTTCGGCGCGGCACGCTTGCCACTTCGCGGTCCCCAGGCGTCCACGCAGCCTTCCCCGAGCCTCCCGCCCCGCGGAGCGGAGCGACACGCTGTCCGCTCGCAAGGCATCGCTGGGGCCGCCGCCGAAGCACGGTAAGCATCAGCTCTCGACGGTACGGGGGGGGGACTGGGCTCGGGGGGACGCTTAGAAGCTGGGCGACGACTGGCAAATCCATGGCTGCTGAAACGGTGCTCCGGGAAATTGTTTTTTCTTCTGGGAAG